AACCAACTTTTGGTTTTGTTGATTCTTTCTATTGTTTTTCTGTTCTCTATTTCATTTATTTCTGCTCTGATCTTTATTATTTCCTTTCTTCTGGTGACTGTGGGCTTCTTTTGTTGTTCTCTTCCTACTTGTTCGAGGTGTGCAGTTAATGTTTTGATTTTGTCCCTTCTTTTTTGATGTGTGCATCTATTGCTATAAATTGTCCCCTGAGCACTGCCTTTGCTGTGTCCCAAAGGTTTTGGTATGATGAGTTTTCATTCTCATTTGATTCTAGGAATTTTTTTATTCCATCTTTGATTTCTTCTAGTACCTGGTGATTTTGTAGCAGAGTGTTACTCAGTTTCCATGTAATTAATTGTTCCCTTGCTTTTCCTGTTATTAATTTCTACTTTGATGGTGTTGATCAAAGAAGATGCTTTGTTATTATCTGAATGTTTTGGATTTTGTTGACGGTTTTTTTGTGGCCTACAATATGGCCTATTTTGGAGAATGTTCCATGGGCACTGGAAAAGAATATGTAATTTGCAGCTGTTGGGTGGAGTGTTCTAGGTATGTCTATGAGGTCATGTTGGCTGCTTGTGGCCTTTAGATCTTCTGTATCTTTGTTGAGTTCATTTCTATATGTTCTGTCCTTTAATGAGAGTGGTGTGTTGAAGTCTTCTACTGTTACTGTGGAACTGTCAATTTCTCTATTCAGTGCTGTTAGAGTTTGTTTTATGTATTTTGAAGCCCTGTCATTGGGTGTGTAGATATTTACTACAGTTATGTCTTAAAGAGATCTTTTGCAGCAGATTTGCCCAATCCAATGTATGATTTGATTTCCTGACTGCTGTTCCATGGACATTGATTTCGGATCCAAGTAAAATGAAATCCTTGAGAACTTCGATCTTTTCTCCGTTTATCTTGATGTTGCTTATTGGTCTGGTTGTGAGGATTTTTGTTTTCTCTGTGTTGTGGTGTAATCCATCCTGAAGGCTGTAGTCTTTGATCTTCATCTGTAAGTGCTGCAAGTCCTCTTCACTTTCAGCAAGAACTTTTGTCATCTGCATAACCCAGGTTGTTAATGAGTCTTCTTCCAATCCTGATGCCTTGTTCTTCATATAGTCCAGCTTCTCAGATAATTTGCTCAGTATACAGCTTGAGTAAGTATGGTGAAAAGATAGAACACTGCTGCATACCTTTCCTGACTTTAAACCATGTAGTATCCCCTTGTTCTGTTCGAATGACTGCCTCTTGGTTTAAGTATAGATTCCTCACGAGCACAATTAAGTGTTCTGGAATTCCCATTCTTCACAATGTTATCCATAATTTTTTATGATTCATGCAGTCAAATGCCTTTGCATAGTCAATAAAATACAGGTAAACTTCATTCTGGTTTTCTCTGCTTTCACCCAAGATCCATCTGACATCAGTAATGATACCCCTCATTCCACATCCTCTTCTGAATACAGCTTGAATTTCTGGCAATTTCCTGTGGATGTACTGCTGCAACTGCTTTCGAATGATCTTCAGCAAAATTTTACTCGCATGTGATATTAATGATATTGTTCAATATCTTCTGAATTCTGTTGCATCACCTTTCTCTGGAATGTACAAATATGGATCTTTTACAGTTAGTTGGCCAGGTAGCCATCTTCCAAATTTCTTGGCATAGATGAGTGGGCACTTCTGGCACTGCATCCATTTGCCGAAACATCTCAGTTGGTATTCTGTCAATTTCTAGAACCTCCAGATCTTTGCACATGTCATTATAATATTTTACTTTGTCTTCTCAAGCCGCCCTTTGAAATCTTCTGTTCAGCTCTTTTACTTCATCATTTATTCCTTTCATTTAGCTACTCTACATACAAGAGCAATTTTCAGAGTCTCTTCTGACATCCATTTTGGTCTTTTCTTTCTTTCCTGTCTTTTTAATGACCTCTTACTTTCTTCATGTATGATGTCCTTGATGTCATTCCACAACTTGTCTGGTTTTTGATCATTAGCGTTCAATGCATCAACCCTAGAGCAATATCTATTTTTATGTCTATATATATATGTCTCTGTTTCTGTCTCTATATCTGTATCTCAAACCAAAGACCAATATATGGTGCTGTGTGTGCAATAGCTAGAACATATAGACCTGGAAATCTAAGGTTGGAAGTAGGACTGTTTACTCTCTCCATCATTTCTAGTGATCCATTTACAGAATTTGTGTTCTCTGTTCCCACAAAAAGGGATCTCCTAGATTGGAGGACCTAGTTCATGGAGGTGGAAGGTAGGAGCTGCTTCCACCAGGGAACACAGTAAGATTTTCAATAAACCTAAAGCTCTGACATATGCCTGGTCACTTTGAGTTCCTCATCTTAGTAGACAAGGAGGGGAGAAAAAAAATATATATATACATATGCACACACATGTGTATACATATACATATGTATGTAAACCTATTGCCATCGAGTCGATTCTGACTCATAGTGACCCTATAGGACAGAGTGGAACTGCCTCATAAGGTTTCCAAGGAGGGGCTGGTGGATTCAAACAGCCAACCTTTTTGGTTAGCGCCAACCTTTTGTTTAGCAGCCATAGTTCTTAACTGCTGCACCTCCAGGGCTGAGAAGAATTCACCCTCATTATCACTGAGTACTTGGGTTCCTGATACATAATGGAATGAGAGCAAGGACAATTGTGTCTAGAACTTGCTGAGGCTCTTCTTAGTGCTTCCACAGTGAATGAGTAATAGCAGCAACCACGGCCTGACAAGAGTAAGGCAAACAAGGTCTTGCATCCATCTGGACTGAAGGTCTAGGTTGCCTACAAACAAGCCGCTAGACCAGTTGAAGTGTTGGTTGAAAGAGAGGGAAATCTAGAATGGGTGGTAGAGAAGAGAGACATTGAATACCAGCTACAGCCTTAGGCTAGCTGTAGCAGTTAAGACTACAGCTATCTTGTCACACAGAGATTTAATTATTTCTTTTTAGAGCTTATGACCAGCCACCACCTTGAAGAGTGGATGATACAGTTTACTTAAGGTGAGGCACTATCAGAGTGGTGCAAGAGGTGGATCAGGGCAAATATTTCTATTTTCTTTGTTAAATCTGGCAACCCTTCATCAGCCTGAGACCAGAAGAACTAGATGATGCCCGGCTACCACCAATGAATGTCCTGACAGGGAACACAACCGAGGGTCCCTGATGGAGCAGTAGAAGGATGGGATGCAGAACTCAAATTCTAGTAAGAAGACCAGACTTAATGGTCTGACTGAGACTGGAGGCACCCTGGAAAGCATGGCCCCTGGACTCTCAGCCCAGAACTAAAACAGTTTCTGAGGCCAACTCTTCAGACAGGGATTGGACTGGACTGTGGGACTTATAGTGATACTTGTGAAGAGTGTGCCTCTTAATCAAGTAGATACAAGAGACCAAAGGGGCAGCTTCTGTCCAGAGGTGATATGGGAAGGCAGAGAGAGTTAGGAGTTGGTTGAATGGTCATGGGGAATCAGGAGTGGAAAGGAGGAGTGTGCTGTCACAGAATAGGGTGAGCAATTAGGGTCTCATAACAATGTATGTAAAAAAATTTTGTATGGGAGACTAACTTGAAATGTAAACTTCATTTAATTACAACTATAAAAAAATAAAATAATAATAAAAAAAATCTGGCAACCCAATTCCCCAGGGACATTTAGCAAGATCTGGGGACTTCTTTGGAGTCCCTAGATGGCACAAATAGTTAAGTGCTCAATTAATAACTGAAAGTTTGGCAGTTCAAACCCATCCAGAGGTATTTCAGAAGAAAGGCCTGGTTATCTGCTTCCAAAAGGTCACAACCTTGAACACCCTATGGAACACAGTTCCACACTACAACACATAGAGTCGTCATGAGTCGAAGTTAACCAGATCGCAACTTTTTTTATGCGTGTTACAACGTGGGGGATGGGCATTACTTGCATCTAGAAGGTAAAGGTCAGAGATGCTGCTAAACACTCTACAGTGTACAGGACAAACCCTACAAAAAAAAAGAATGACCTGGCCCAACAGGTCAATAGCATCAAGGCTGCGAATCCCTGACGTAGGCACATCTAATTTCAACGCAGCTGTAGTGTCCTACCTCAAGTGAGTATCAGAAAGTCTCATTGTTTCAGTTCCTCAAGGCTTTCTCTGAAGCCAGAACCTACTCAAGTCCTTGCACAGACACAACCTAGAAGTGTGAGGAAGTTGATGCCCCTGGCAGTAACACCTATCACTGGGTAAGGGAGATGGTGCATAAGTATCACAATCTACCCATGTTTTGGTGGACCCTTCTGAGGCATGGCTTATGTAGTCTTTCGGGATCCCCAGGATGACTTAGCCTGTTGCCCACAGCAATAGTTACCTCATTATCACATCCTTTAACTGATTATTCTGTCTTATTTTATTCTTCTTACTCCCACATTTGTTTGAAATCAATTCCCAAATAAATCATCTCTACCCAAATTCTTGTCTCAGGCTCTGCTTTTGGGGTCACCTAATGTAAGATACAATATTTTAAATAAAAAAATCTCCTTCTAGAAACATCAGATCCTGAACATGCTTACCTTGAAGTGTTGAGCAGTAAGTTCTTTATCCTGGAGGGGCACAGGGTAGTGAGCTGCTTGCAAATCCTTCAGAGCTGCATTAAGTTTAGCCTTATCTTTGAAATTAGCAATAACATTTCCAATAGCTTTCATAATTGTTAGAGCTTGATCTGTAAATCGGTAGCTCTCCTGTGAAGACAAATCATAGCAGTCATCCTCACTTTGGTTTATTTAAGTGTAACTGAGTTTACAAAAAATAATTTCTGTTAAAATATTAAGCCTCTGCTATATTGTTCATTGATGGAAGCAGTGGTGGTTCGGATTCCTGGATGGCACAAATGTTTAAGAACTGGACTACTAACTGAAAGCTTGGCAGTTCAAACCCATCGAGGTGCTTCAGAAGACAGGTCTGGTAATCTGCTTCTGAAAGTCACAACCTTGAAAACCTATGGAGCAGTTCTACTCTGCACACATGAAGTCACCATGAGTTGGAATCAACTAACAGCAACTAACAACAACAATGCAATGGTGGTTAGTGGTAGAATTATCACCTACCATGCAGGATACTCGGGGTTCAGTTCCCAGACAATGCACCTTATGTGCAGCCACTATCCATCTGTCAGTAGAGGCTTGTTTGTTGTTATGCTGCTGAGAAGGTTTCAGCAGAGTTTCCACACAAAGACAAACTAGGAGAAAAGCCTGGTGATCTACTTCAAAAAATCAGCCAATGAAAACCCTATGGATCACACTGGTCCGATCCACAACTGATCATGGGGATGGCACAGGACTGAGCAGCGTTTTGTTCTGTTGTGTATGTGGTCACCAAGAGTCAGGGGCTGATTCGAAGGCAGCTAACAACAACATATTGTTTATTCAATAGTTATTTATGCACCTGCTTGATCATGGTATTTTACTAGGAACTGTGGTCTCAGAGATATAAAACAAAAAACATAACTCCTGTTTTAGCACATTAGGGGAGGGACAAGTAAACTATCACTTGGAGAAAGCTCCATGATAGAACTAGGGAAGCTGTAGAAACACATAGGAAAAACATTTCCCTCATATTAGGGGTCAGGGAATATTCATCATCGATGTTGACATCTAGGCTTAGTTCTGAAGGAGAACTAGGAATTCTTCTGACGAAAATGGTGTGAGATTTATGGACTGATGAGTAGAGAATATTTCAGGGTGAGAGCCATAAAGATGAAAAAGACAAGAGGGTATACTAGCATGGGCTGCGGGATGCCACCCCATCAACCCTAGGGAAACAATAAAAACAAGATGGAAATAAGGATTTCAGGAAGTAACTGAAATTACACAAACTAAAAACCTGAGAAAACCCTGAGCTATTTAAAGACTATTTTGATTATTGATTATTGGTTGGAGGCATCAGGAAGTGGGTGATGTCTAAGGAAATATTTATAAAGTCTGTCTTTTTCTCTTCCCTGGGGGTGGGGTATGGTACAATCCCTGCAAAAATCTTGGGGAATGATTCAGCAGGTATGCTTGGACAGGACATATTCACTGTTGGGGCGAGAAGCTGATGAAGAAGGATGCATCTGACCGGCTACCTTAATGTATTTACTTCTCCACTATCCCCTTCAAATCCTGCAATAGCTCTGGGAAAGCCTCTTCTCAATAACGACCATGAAACCTAACATGAAACCATGACCAGACAAGTTGTGTGGTCAAGTGGCAGCACTGGGAGTGATCAGTAATGTTCTGAGTGGTCTGGGTCTCCGTGCTTAGGCTTTTTTTGATTCTACATTAGAACCAAAGAACACTAGGGCCTGGCCTTAAGCCTTTCCTCTTTCATCTTTATGAGACAGAGGAGTTGATAGCCCCAGGAAAATATGGGCTCATAGACCAAAATAACTAAACACCTTGGGCATTCAAGAAGGAGCCCTGGTGGCACAGTGATTAAAGTGCTTGGTTGCTAACTCAAAGGTCAGTAGTTCAAATTTACCAGCCACTCCGCAGGAGACAGATGTGGCAGTTTGCCTGCATAAAGATTTATAGCCTTGGAAACCTACTCTGTCTTATATGGTCACTATGAGTCCAAATTTACTTGACAGTAGTGGATTTTGTTTTTGGTTTGGGGAGTTCAGTCACCTAAAGAAAGATGACAAACTGCATAATCCATGGTATCTAAAGCAGAACTATTAGAAAAAGACAAAACTAGAATTTAAAGTAAGCAGGATGAATATAATTAATAAGGGACACCTGCTTATAAGGTGGCCTTGCTGATCTTCTTTCTGTGCCTTCTGAGCAGGAGGGAAAGAGGACTGGCGAAAGATGGAAAGAATGCAGAGGAGAGGACACAGCCATGGACAGCCCTGCACAACCACTGTCCAGAGAGGCAAGAGTGCAAGAGTGGACCATGTCTTGGCCAGGTGAACACAGTGGAAGGAAGCCATCTTGTTGCCACCCTGGCCAAGTGGTTTGCTGATTGAGTGAGAGGATCCCATCCATATAAGGCTGTGCCCATTAAAGATGGGGGTGGGGATTTGAGCTGAGAGAGGGTCAGGAATTATCCAGTGGGGAAGGCCCTATGCAAATTTGTCCTTAAAATGCACATGTCCACACAGAGGATGTCTAATGCCAAGAGAAGACTTCTGAGGACAGGCTGGCACCACTTATGTCACCTCTTCTTTCAGACCTTGTCAAAGCAGAGAAACAAGAAAAAGCAAGAGGAGGCCAAAAAGAGAGAACGGAGATGAAAAAGTGACAGAAGCATCCGTGGATCCCCTCCCCCTAAGTCCCAGAGATACACACTCCATGTTTCTTAGGTCAATGAAGAGGTGAACGGAGGGTATTAGCTCAAAAGTTTAAACTGCATTAAAAAGGACTGTACAGAACCTTTATACCCCAAAACCAAAGGAAAAATAAAAACCAAACCCATTGCTGTCGATTCCAACTCATGGTGACCCTATAGGACAGAGCAGAACTGTTAAAGGGAACAAAAATGCTATGCTATAGGATCTACCTAAGATGTTAACAGAGGAGCCCTGGTGGTACAATGGTTAAGAACTCAGCTGCTAACTGAAAGGTTGGCGGTTAGAATCCACCCAGCAACTCTGTGGGAGAAAAGACCTGGCGACCTTCTCCCATAAAGATAGTTGTTGTCAGGTGTCGTTCAGTAAGTTCCAACTCATAGCAACCCTATGTACAACAGAACAAAACACTGCCCAGTCCTGTGCCATCCTCACAATCACTGTTATGCTTGAGCCCATAGTTGCAGCCACTGTGTCAATCCACCTCCTTGAGGGTCTTCCTCTTTTTCGCTGACCCTCTACTTTACCAAGCATGATGTCCTTCTCCAGGG